CCTAGCTCTGACCGCAATTGCCGCAAGTCCCGAAAATATGATAGAGATGAGTATAGAAAAAACCTGCAAAAGGAGAGGAAGACGACCAGAGGAGAGGATGAAGGAGAGACGAAGAAGAAGGCCCAAGAAGAAGAAGGTCGGATGAAGAAGAAGGCCGAAGAGTAGACGGCCGAAGAAGAAGTAGACGGAAGAGTTTATAAAATCTTTGGTTTTGGGTGAGATTTGGGAATGAATTTATATTTACCGTGAAGAGCAATTAGAGCATGAGCATCACGTACGTTGCTGTACTTTGATTTTCAAGCGCAGAGAACCTAATCAAAGAGGGTGACTTTGAAGGTCAGGTCTCTTTCCCTATATATTTGTTGTAGGAAAATGCTAGGGTGCGGTGCTATCATGCACCTATGCTTCGCACAGACAAACACAGACGATAATTGTATGTGCGACACAGACAATTATCGTCTGTGTTTGTTTGTGCAAAGCATGAGTGCACCCATAGTAGCACCCATGTGGTGACACCCTAGCATAGTCCATTTGTTGTATTGCCAAGGCAAAATACTACTCCCTTTTTAGTGTCAGATACTCCTTTATAAAATTTATTTTGTTTACATATTCGTATAAAAATAAAAAATAAAATTTATATATAAAAAATTACATGAAAAGCTCTTCAAAATAAGAAGTGTCAAAAATATTTTATTTTATCAACCAACCAATGAAAACGTAGAAATAAATAAAAATTCTCGCGACTGCTAAAAAGGTCAAATAGCGCCAGTACCCCCCGTGGTTTGCAAAATAGGCACCAAAACCCCCACTGTTTTCAAAACTTATTTCTAAAGTCCTTGTGATTTCAAAATGCTGCACTCGTGCCCCCTCTGATCAATTTCTGACCATTTTTCCAGCGAAGAAGGGGGGCATTGCTGCATATTTACTAAACCACAGGGGGTATCGGTGCTGATATTTATTTCTCTCTTATTTTTTGTTTTTTTCAATTTTTTCCTTTATTTGTTAATTTTATTAATAAAGGTTTTTTTTAAAATTATTTTTATAATGCTCATAAAAGTTAAAGTTATTTTTGTTTGAAAAAATTAACATATACGGAGTAATGTATATGTACTTCTCAAATCAACAATTTTTGTTTTTCTGAAAAAAGTAAACTTTTTTTTGGAGAATTTCAAAAAAATGACGAATAAAATAAGAAACAAAATAATGGAAAAATAAAAATGAATATCTTTTTCGAACATCTTAATTCTAAGGACTTTTTTAGTCTTGTCCATTTTTTGTATCAGACTTTTTTTATGTATTTTTATTTTTCATTTTATTTTTCCCTGTTTTTATTTTTTTATTCTAGGTTTTTCTTTTTGAACTTTCCAAATAAGTACGTAACAGAAAGTGAAAATGTTTAATTTCAAATAAATGCAATGTATGTTAATTTTTTTATTTTTATTTTTATTTCAAAAACAAAAAAATTTAAAATTTTAAAACATTATAAAAAATTGAAAATAAATTACAAAAAAAACTAGGATAAGGAAAAAGAGATAGAAAGTATTTAAAAAAAGAAAAATACAAATAATAAACGAAAAATAAAAACGAATACCCCTATGCTTTAAAAATTATGCGTAAATGTCCCCTCTTCGCCAGAAAATGGCTGAAAAATGATCAGAGGGGCACGGGTGCAGTATTTTGAAACCACGAGGATTTTAGAAATAAGTTTTGAAAATAGAAGGGGTATTGGTGCCAATTTTTCAAACAACAGGGGGCATCGGAGTTATTTGGCCCTACTAAAAAGCAAGTGTTGCAAATATTTTTGGGCGAGAGAGAGTATAAAATAAAAAACCAAACACGAGAACCAGTGAACCACATTTGTTTTGTTTGGTCTATGACCAACTTGTTTTTTACTTTTTTAATTAAAAAAAGAAACGTATGAAGTAATAAGTAAATACACCCTCCGTCCCAAATTATAATGTCTGTTCATTATTCACATTGTCAAACTTCATTCACTTTTTTTCTCTATTTCCGTTAGCAATTTGATAAAATAAAGTACTATTATCACTACTAATTTTGTAGATCTTTTGATGTAGTATTTTACTATGTAATTTTTATTTTTTTAACTCTATATCATTTGTCATATAAAATGATTTGAAAATAATTTCAGTCAAACATCGTAAACCGAAACAGACATTATAAAATGGGACGGAGGGAGTACTTATTACCCAGTCCACCATGGAATTTGCCTTGTCATTTGTGCACCTTAACAAGTGAATAAAATGATATTAAATGACTAAAAAAACAAATGACAAGTTTGTATATTTTTTAATCAAAGTATTTGTGATTATAGCATTCTCAATCTAATAGAGAAATGCTAGAGTCACAAACACTTATTTTAAAAAATATTAGTGTAATTTCACAAAATTTGTCAAAAATTTGTACTAATATTTTATATTATTTAAATCATCACACTAGTATCACATTAACAAAAAATGCTGGTGCATGCCTTCATGTACAATTTTTGGTGTACGAATAGTTTCATTCTTCTGATTAATGTCATACGATGTCAAATTGGAAAAAAATATTTTTATCTAAGTGATCTTTTAATCCTCGCATTCACCAATTTTAGTCGATTTAAGAGTAAAAAATGGTTCGCATTTTATTTTATTCATGTAATTGTTGGGTGTTTGGAGGACAAATATTTTTGGGCTTGATTTGGATTGACCCGGTCATTTTTATCCCGTTTGTTTCTTGTTTCTTGAGGAACAAGTTTCGTAGCCCTAAGTTTCTCCTATATATATGCATCTTGCACTTGTAATTCTTGAGACAGAACAAGTGAATAAAATTCTCCTCGGTTGTAGATTAGAGAAACCAAACCACGTTAAATTCGTGTGTGTCGTTTGTGTTCCGTTCCCCCTTAATTCTCGCAGATCATTTGTGTGTGTTGCGTGTTTAATCCCCAACAGTAATATATGCATTTTTAACCAATATGTCCTTTGTTTTTTAGACTATTAATTTGTTATTACTCCCTCTGTCTTAGAACTTTTGATGTAGTTTTTAAATATATATATATAAATTTTATTTTTTAATTTTACACCTACAATCAAATAAATTGAATTGAAAATAAAGTTTATCAAACTTCGTAAACACAAATGAGAAGATGGTTCTAGGACAAAGAGAGTATAATACAAAAAAGGAAAAAATTAATAATGAAAAAAATTAATAGCGGAAAAAATAAGAACGAAAATAAAACAATACTCCGCCATAAATAAATAAATTTTTCACTATTTGTATTACTCCGTATTATTTTATAAATGATAGAAATAGGTAATTATTTATAGAAAAAATAAAAGTGCAATCATTGTAGTGGTGGGTAGGGATGCAAACAAATCAAATATTTTAAATTCGATTCGCGATTTGTATTCGAATATGATGATTCGAATTCGCGTTATTCAAATACAAATTCAAATTCAAATATTATTTTTGATTCGAATATTAATCAAATACAAATATAAATGGGGATATATTCGATTCGGATGATATTCGAATATTCGAATATATGTATATATACACAGACCATGTTTTCAACATCAAAAGTCAAGCAAAGTAATATAGTATAAAGTGTATTTAAAATACTAAGAATTCAATAAATTAACGTAACACGAAAATCTAAAGCATATGATTTTTAATAGTTATATTTTATAAAATATAATTTGTGTAAGATGCAGATGTATTAATGTTTTTATATACGGAATATAGTATAGTATAAAGAGTATCGTAAGTTAAATTACAAATTGATGTTGGTCCATCATATAAATTACATAGCATGATTATTCAAATATTCGTTTATGATTCGATAACTATTCGAATATTAATCAAATACTTATTCAAATCTTATTTTGAATTCGTCTCATATTCGGATTCGGATTCGTATTCGAAAAAATTAAACAAATACAAATTCAAATATATCGGTATTCGCTTCGATTCGGTTCATTTACACCCCTAGTGGTGGGTGAGTACTATACGTATGAAGCGAGTGAGATGATGAGTACACTCAGTGCTGATGGGGCTACTAATTTGGAGTGAGCGATGGTGAAATGCTATAGAGAGTCTTAGTCCGGTAAACTCGTCATTTTTAAAGCGTTTCGATAAATCTTACCATATACTTATATCATTTCGCATTAATATTTTAATTTTGAATTACAATATTTGAGTAAATATATTTTTCAACTTATTTTATATAAAAATAGAAATTACCTTAAATAGGACTAAAACATAGAGAAAAGTACCAAAATAGGACTTTCACATTTTTTTTCTTTGAAATATGACTTTGCACTGTGGTAATGTGACTTTGCATTGTGGTAATGTGGTAGTGTACATGTGAACATTACTATACTTTTTTGGTAATATATATGATCATGTTTAGTAATGTAAGTTCTATTTCCAGAATAAAAATATGGAAGTCCTAATTTGGTATAATTTCAATGTTTTAGTCTTATTTTTGTCTTTCTCCCATATAAAAACTTGTGTAGAATTTACTCTATATTAATACTTCTAGAAAACTTACATAGTGGAACATTATTCATTAGAATCATGCTACACTTACACAAAAAATTGTACCTCAAACTTACACCAAAATTATACACCTTTTAATAATTTACACCGACACAAATTGTTGGTGCGTTAATAAAAATTTAGACTGACACAAAGTGTTGATAATTTAACAAAAATTAACATTACAGCAACACAAAATGTTAGTGCACAAGTAACTTTGTTCAATTCATTATTGTACTGTTTTTGTACAAAGTCGAAAGTCGACATTTTCAAACTCTGGTAATAGAGGGAGAGTGCCAGGTAAAGTCGCCGCATATTATGTGAAGAACGGGTAAAGAGGCTGGTTTTCATCACAATTCTCAACTAAATCACAAATCTCAAAAAAAAGAAGAAGAAATCAACAGGAACTTTCTTCTTCCATAACAAAATACACAAATCCTTGTGTATGTATGAAAACTTGAACACTAGCTGTTTCTCTTCTTCCATAACAAAGTACCCAAATCCTCTCCACCAAAAAAGAAAACAAGAATTAGGATTTCATTATTATATTAATGGTCATTAGTATGAACGAGATGAACAGTTGTAGCATTATCCTCTTCTCCATATTATTTCTACGATTCTGTGCTCCCACATCAAGCAGCGATTACTCTAACGCCGTCGCCGGCGCCGGGAATCAGAGACGGCCGTTGTCCTACAATGGAGACGCTCTCGCCGTGGACCCGAGCCTAAGCTTCGGCAACCGGAGGTTGGAAAATGCCTACATCGCATTGCAAGCCTGGAAGGAGGCCATAATATCTGACCCGCTCAACATAACAGGAAACTGGGTCGGATCCGGCGTCTGCCACTACACCGGCGTGTTCTGCTGGCAGGCGCCGGATGATCCGTCGGAGACCACGGTTTCCGGGATCGACATCAACCACGGCGACCTCGCCGGGACTCTGCCCCACGAGCTCGGCCTCCTCTACGACATCTCCCTGTTCCACATCAATTCCAACCGATTCTGCGGCACAATTCCGTGGAGTTTTGTGGACCTGAAGCTCCTCTTCGAGCTGGACCTCAGCAACAACCGGTTCGCCGGGAGTTTCCCCGGACCTCTTCTCCGGATGCCCAGCCTGAAATACCTGGACATCCGGTTCAACGAGTTCGAGGGAAGACTCCCGGACGAACTCTTCGAGAGGGCATTCGACGCGATATTCGTCAACAATAACAGGTTCTCCGGCGAGTTGCCTCGGAACGTAGGGAACTCGCCGGCCTCTGTGATTGTTCTGGCGAACAACGCTTTCCGGGGTTGCCTGCCCCAGAGCCTGGGCAACATGTCGAGGACACTGAGCGAGATGGTGCTGTCGAACAACGCCTTCCGTTCGTGCCTGCCCGGCGAGATCGGCGGGCTAGAGAAGTTGAACGTGCTTGACTTGAGCAGGAACGAGATGATGGGGGCGTTGCCGGAAAGTATGGGGCAAATGAGGAGCCTGAAGGAACTGAATTTGGGACATAATATGTTCTCCGGGGAGATCCCGGACGGAATATGCTCTCTCGGCGGCTTGGTCAGCTTCGGGTATGAGCATAACTACTTCACGAGCGATGCTCCGGCGTGTCTCAATTTGCCGTCGTACGACGACAGAGAGAACTGTTTGAGAGACAGGGATGAACAGAGGCCGGAGTTGGAATGCAAGAGGCTCTTGTCTGCCGGCGTTAATTGCAGCAGTTTCAAGTGCGGGCCCGATGTTCCTCCGTGTTCGCCGCCGGGTTTTTCCTCCCCGCCACCGCAAGCGAAATCTCCTCCACCACCGCCGGCGAAACCACCGCAAGCGAAATCTCCTCCACCACCACCATCATCACCGCAACCATCCCCGCCGGCAAAACCACCGAAGGCGAATTCTCATCCTCCTCCTCCGCCGCCGCAACCGCCTATTCCCCCGCCACCCCCAAGTCACTGCGATTGCAATTCAACAGCATCTCCTCCTTCCCAAAACTGGCCACCACCAGCCATCTCGTCTTCTCCCCCGCCCCCACCTAACGCTTCAACGCCACCGTGCTCAGAACAAGCGCCGCCGCCACCAGCTCTAATTACTCCATCGCCAAGTTGAGTTGAAGGCAGAAAAGTGTTGCATTTTGTGAGTGAGTGCCAAACACAGCCACCCGATTAAATTGTTTTATTAGCACGACTCAGCAGCCAAATTCCCATTTATGTGTATGTGGCGTTAATAATTGGAATTAAGGTAGGGTACACCAAAATGGGGTACCCCAAGTGTACACCAAAGCCAACACAGACACACACAGACATTTTGTGTCTGTGTGTGTCTGTGTTGGCTTTGGTGTACATTTGGGGTACCCCATGTTGGTGTATCCTAGCATTGCCCTAATAATTGAACTATATCCTAGTAATTCAGAACACACCTAATCCCCCATATACGATTTCTATTTCAAAAATTTGCACTCAATACCATTAAAATTTATGTTATTTCCTTAAATAACATTTAAATTATTTTATTTCCTACATAGCACTTAAAAAATTCATAATATCCAGTAATATCCATTAAAATTTAAGTTATTTTCTAAATAACATTTACTTGAATAATAAGTAATCATAATGACTAAAAATCCTACATTTGAAAAAAACACATATGATGCTATTTAGATAAAATTATTATGTTTTAGTACTATTTAAATAAATTTCCCTTTCTATTATGGTTGTGTTGTCACTTGTCAATTAATCTCTCCCAAATTTAATTATTTGGACACTATTCTACTTATTTTTAAGTTAATTATTTGGACACTATTGTACTTATTTTTTCCCAAATACGGAGTAGCTATCACTATTACTATTACGATTGTTTCATAATTTTTATTTTTTTACATTTTCATTAATAATTTAATAAATTAAAATATTCCTCTTGTCTTTTATTTTATATAACTTTGATATATTTTTGAATAAGATTGGGCATAATAGGCATGAACATCATAGGGGAGGGTGGATGTTAGTTCGAGGGCCTGGGCTTAAGTGAGGGTGGGGTTAGATAGTGTTGGGGTGAGGGTTCTACCGGTGGTGGGGGGCTTCCGTAGATGGTTCATGGCCGTGGGGTGTTGCTTCGTACTCGACTGCGTTGCCCGTGACCACACCCACCGCCAGTTGCTCGATCGACAGGCGTGCTACTGATGCGCTCCCCATCCGCCGCTTCATTGATTTTTTTGTATTCACATGCACGATATTAATAATAGAATACTCAATAAGATCTTCATCCATCTGCACTGCACTCCATCAGTGTCCTTCAGGATGCTTATCCAAACCTTTTCTAGCAAAATAACATTTGAAAAAATAGTAGAATCCTAAAAACATGATAAAGGCATTTCAACCTGATGGGATTTAGCCTAACAGCTATGGCGTGCGGAGAACAAAATAGTATTAATAACGGTACTGAAGGAAATAAGGACTCTCATGTATTTTTATCAGCTTTTTTCCGCTTGCTTTGCCATGGATGGTTTTACCCCTATTTATAGTCTACTTCTATCGTATAACAAGACATGTAATATTTCGTGTGCTAGATTATCGACAATTTGTCAATCGTGTGTTCTTTGTGTTTTTAATTGATGTGTGATGTGTTTCACAGCATGAGTTGTTTGTTATTTCTTAATTCAAAGTAGCTTTGCTTGTAAAATTATGTTCTTGGTAAGGTAAACAACAAAACCTATACACGTAGAGTGATGCAAATTTAAAAATATTAAAATGCATATTTAATTGGTCCACGTGCAAGATGGGATTCAAATTGACAAAATAAATTGTTGTCTGACATCTTTAATGATAAAGCGGTATGTAATACGGATGTGAGTTCGATTCCTGCATAGGAAAATTATTTCTCAAGTCTATTTTACATTTTCTTTGAACCATTTCTCAATTACCAATAGGTCTTTGGTGTTGTTTATATGTATTTTAAAGTAGGGGCTTAGCTTATTTACTAATATTCTATTATATTTTGAATATATATTTTTAACATTGTTTTGACTATAAATAATGATTGTTCACAGGTTTAGAATTAGGGCTTGCAAGTTTAGGAATGGAATATGTGATCTTTAATTTTATAATTTGTTGTTAATGCTTAATGAAAAGTTTTAAAGTTGTATTTTGAGACTGAAGGTAGTGCATTCTCAAATATCGGGTATGCATTATCTCGTCAAGAAAATGCATTCTCATATAAAAGGGTATTTCAATCATCGGATTTCTTAAATCAAGATAATGCATTCTCATATCATTATGGTAACACATTTAAACATTCTTAATTAAAGACTAAAAACTTATAAACTACCCAAAACACTTCTAAAACAAAATAAATAACCCTAACCAGTTTAAAAAAAATGGAAAAGCAAATTGCATCTGTTGAGCATCACAATTCACTCTCACAACAACAAATGAGTATAAATACAATGTATTTTTAGGTCTTCCTATTGCATAGAGGGTCAATCAGGATCGGAATCATAATTCACTAACCCACAAATCAATAAAATAAAATTAAAATGAAATCTTAATAAAAGCAAATCATAATGCATATATCAGTCATGCATTTATGAAAACGAGAGTTTTTTTGTATGAACGGGCAAACATGAAAAGTGAAAATTTTATTTATAAATGAACGAAATTTATATATGGGCCCGAGTTTTATATTTGGATCAATCTCAATATATATCCTGCATTCCACATAATTTTAAAAATCAATCATCTGGAATAAGTAAAAAATTGTCTTGAATTTGTAAACTTATGGCACCAAAAAAAATTGATTTATACATGTTGACTTTAGACTGGTATTAGTTTCATCTAAAGTCTGTACTGGCGTTGTCGGTTTTGGTCCATTCATATATTGAAAGAAGCTTGATTGAGAGGGTTGCTTGTTAATTTCGCCTCCCGACTATAGCGCAGCAAATCGAGAGAGAGAATCCCGCGACCGGAAAAGTAAGAACCCATTTCGGCAATGCGTTAACGACGGATTCTCTGGTCGGATCAGATCTCCGTTTCTCTGCCGGATCCGGCGTCTTTTTCCTAGCTCCTATCACCCCTAGATCAACAAGGACAGAGTATTTCTTCTAGCTACAGATCGATCTCCACTGTAAGTGATTTTTTTGGGGGGGTTTTTTAGTCTAGCATTTCGTCAGCTTGGGCATTATGTCTTTTGGTGAACTCTTAAATCTACAACATATATTTTACTTTGAAAGATTGATGTTTTTGCAAAAGCTTTACGGATGTTGAGGATTGTATTAGTCCTTTTTGTTAAATCAAGTGGTTTGTGAAAGAAATCCAAGATTTGTAATAGGCATCGATCCGAGATCTGTTTATTGTTTTGAATTTATTGAGTTGGGTTATCCATTTTCTCATCTTTTGACTTTGTTGCCGGTTGAGATTTCTAGTTCGTTGGTGCTACTTGTTGAGGTGGGATGATGCTGGTTGGTTTTGCAGGAGGAAGAGGATAGAATATTGCGGTCCGATGGCTCTTCGTAAGGCAATTGGGACTGTGAAGGACCAAACGAGCATCGGGATAGCCAAGGTGGCTAGCAATTTGGCTCCGGAACTGGAAGTTGCCATTGTTAAGGCAACTAGCCATAATGATGATCCAGCTGGGGAAAAGTATATCCGGGAAATCCTTCAGTTGACTTCCTACTCCCAGGGCCATGTGAGCGCATGTGTGTCATTGATATCCAAGAGGCTAGGCAAAACCAGGGACTGGATCGTCGCTCTCAAGTGTTTGATGCTCGTCCACCGGTTGCTCAGTGATGGTACTGCCGTGTTTCAGCAGGAAATTATGTATGCTACCAGAAGAAGGGGCACGAGGCTATTGAATCTGTCCGACTTCAAGGACGAGGCACACTCGAGCTCGTGGGATCATTCTGCGTTTGTGCGGACTTATGCACTGTATTTGGATCAGAAACTGGAGATGATGCTTTTCGATAGGAAACAGAATGGAACTGGTGGAGAGATTGTGAGGTACGAGTCTCGGGAGGATCAGCAGTGGGGATCACCTCCTGGGTCAAGCAGGGGAAACAATTACAATTACAGTGAGCCAGCATACGGGATGAGAAGGTCAAGATCGTCTGGGGATGTGAAAGATTCGTCCGCCCAAGATCTGAAAGATGTGACACCATTGAGGGAAATGAAGCCAGAAAGGATTTTCGGGAAGATGAGCCATTTGCAGAGACTATTGGATCGATTCTTGTCATGCCGGCCAATTGGACTGGCAAAGAACGAGAGGATGATTCTAGTGGCTCTCTACCCCATGATAAGGGAAAGTTTTAAGCTTTATGCAGATGTCTGTGGAGTCTTGGCTGTGTTGTTGGATAGATTTTTCGATATGGGGTATCAAGATTGCGTGAAGGCCTTCGATGCCTATGCCAATGCCGCAAAACAGATTGATGAGCTTGTGGGGTTCTATAACTGGTCTCAGGACATTGGCATTGCGAGGGCATCAGAATACCCCGAAGTGCAGAGGATAACCGGCAAGCTGTTGGAGACGTTAGAGGAGTTTGTGAGGGATAGGGCAAAGGCAATAAAGAGCCCAGAAAGAAAGGCAGATGTTCATCAGCCACCAGCCAAGGAAGAGCCTGTACCTGATATGAATGAGATCAAAGCCTTGCCTCCACCCGAGAATTATACCCCTCCACCAGCACCCGCACCAGCACCAGAACCTCCTAAGCCAGCAGCTGTCCAGGAGACAGGAAATTTAGTGGATTTGAGGGAGGATGGGGTGACTGCAGATGATCAAGGGAATAAGTTTGCGCTGGCATTGTTTGCTGGGCCAGGAGGAAACAACGCAAACGGATCATGGGAAGCATTCCCCTCTAATGGGGAGCCTGTGGTGACCTCTGCTTGGCAGAACCCTGCGGCCGAGACTGGCAAAGCGGATTGGGAGTTGACTCTGGTGGAGTCAGCAAGCAACTTGTCAAAGCAACAGGCTGCACTTGGTGGTGGACTTGATCCATTATTGCTGAACGGAATGTACGATCAGGGGGCTGTCAGGCAGCACGTGAGCACTGCCCAGTTGAGTGGGGGCAGTGCCAGCAGTGTGGCATTACCCGGACCAGCAGCAGGGAAGGGTGCAGCTCCCGTCCTGGCACTCCCAGCGCCTGACGGGACTATCCAGACAGTTGGAGGGGACCCATTTGCTGCGTCCCTGAACATTCCACCCCCTTCGTACGTACAAATGGCAGATTTGGAGAAGAAACAACAGCTTCTGGTGCATGAACAGATGATGTGGCAGCAGTATGCTCGAGAGGGGATGCAAGGGCAGTCGAGTTTGGGCAAGATCAGCAGCCTAGGCGGACACATTCCTCCAGGCCCACAACCAATGATGCCTTATGGGATGCCCCCACTAAATGGCATGGGATTACCGCCTGCAGGGTATTACCACGCTCCTTACTGATATTTACCAGCTTCTTCCATATAACCATTAGATTATTTTTTTTTTAATTTTAAAATCCCCCCCCCCCCCCTCCCATTGCGCGCTTTTAATGTTACTGTACTTTATTTCCGCGTGTTTTGGACCTTCACTGTATTCAATCTTTGTGTTATTCCCCCCTCCTATTTGTCAATGCCAACGGGGTAAAAAAGAGGTGGGAATAAGTGAAAAACTGTGGTCAAGACGCTATATAGAGATCATGAAGCCTTCCTGCACTGAGCTGGATGGACGCCCGCTCCATTAGTCTGCATTCCGTGTATCATATTTCTTTCTTTTTCTTTCTTTTTTTAGTATATGGTTTGTAATGCTTGGATCCCATTGATTGTCGACTTTATGTGAAGTATATTATTATTATTATATAGTTGATGTATTAATCTAATCAGTTACACATAGGTGAAAGAAGGGGTTCTATACTTCCTCTATCCTTGATGATTCCCTCGTGTCGCATAATGTTTCTCCTATCATTAGGCACTGGATCAAATTGCTTTTAACTTTGGGCCTGTTTGGGAATAGCGTTAGAGATTAGCGTTAGCGTTTTGGATAAGATTTTAACGGTGCAGATTACTTTGAAAACGTTAACGGCTTAACGCTAAACGCTGGCCGTAGATAGCCTTTTCAAAATGCTAATGCTAATCTCTAACGCTATTCCCAAACAGGCCCTTTAAAGCTTTCAAAACGCTACTGCTCGGCCCTTTATTAGGAGTTTTAAGATGGGAAAAATTAAACAAATAGGACAAAAACAGAGACCACAAGTTTGTTGAATACCTGTTACAGCGTGATGAGACTTCTAGAAAGAGAGAAGAGAGTCGTGGCAGTTGCAACAAATGAGAGAGAGAATAGAGAGAAGGAGATATTTTAGTGCTAAATATATTAATTATATTTATTATTCTTGTATTATTTTTTTACCATATTTGTATAGGCTTACCATTATGTCTCTCCTACATTAATTAAGATTGAGACTCGAAGTATATATACATGTAATCTCTACACAATTGAGTAATGAAATTAACCTTTCTATATGGTATCTGAGCCTGAAACCCTAAATCCTAACTAATCTCCTCCTCCTCTTCTTTCAGCCCTACCCGTGCCGTTCTTCCTCCCAACGCCGCCCCCTCTTGCGGCAGCTCTTCACCGGCAAATCCTCCCCTCCGACGGTCTTTCTAGCCGCAACACCTTTCCCTCCTTAGGCGCGGCTTGTTTCCCCTCCCTACCCGCCATGACTGAAAATAGCGAGGTCACTTCTCACAATATCTCCTCCAAACTCCCACATCTTGCTTTCACCACAATCTCCAATGTGAAACTACATGCCCCTGTTCAACTCAGTTTTTCCCAACCCAATTACAAAAAATGGAGTCGTCTCTTTCTTTTCTTAACACGACAATTTAATCTTCAAGGCTATCTCACAGGCTCCGTCGTCCCTCTCTCTGACGACGACGATGAATGGTTCCAACTCGATGTTCTCCTCCAGGGTTGGATTCTCTCCACTATCACATATAACGTCTTAGATTTGGTAATGTCTTTTGTCTCCACCGCCTCTGCACTCTGGAAGGTCATTCACGACCTATTTCACGACAACAAACATGCCGTGCCTTGCAATTGGAACATGAATTCCGCACCACCGTCAAGGGCACCACTTCCATGGCGACCTACTGTCAGCACCTTCAAAATCTTGCCGACTGGTTAAACGTTGTCGATGCACCAGTTTCTCAACATCAACTAGTTCTTCAGATGCTTCGCGGGCTACCCGCAGATCTTCAAGCTCAAACATCCTTCATGCAATTTCAAGATCACATGCCGACATTCCTTCAAATTCGATCAGTCCTCATGCTCTTGGTTTGCCAACGGACCAACCTCGCCGACTCAAGCAACACAGCTTTGCTCACTACCCGAGCCGACAGTCATCCTCACAGTGAGGCTCGCGGTAGCAACAACAGGGCTAGCCATGGGGGACAGCATGGCTGCAACAGCTACAATGGTGGTAACTCGGGACAGCGTGGATGCCGACGTGGCGGCGGAAATCGGGGTCGAGGTTGTGGATGTCACAACGGCTCAAGGCGGCGGCCATCCCAAGACGATAATAATACCTGGACCTCACCCTACCCGAACCCTACCCCAGACCTGTTAGGCCCACGGCCCACACCCCACCCCTACCATGCCCATGCCTATTACACCACCGCCCCACCACCCAACCCGTATGCCCCCTTCACTCTCCCCCA